TTGAGTCCGAAGAAATGTCACTTGTTTCGAAGAGAAGTGAAGTACTTGGGACATATTGTAGCAAGTAATGGAGTAACAGCTGATCCTGAAAAACTTGCAGCAATTAAGGATTGGCCAGTACGAAGAGATAAACACGAAATTAGAAGTTTTCTTGGCCTTTGTACATATTACCGACGTTTTGTCAAAGGATTTGCCAACATCTCCAAGCCATTAACAAAGTTGACAGAAGAAGGCAAAGAATATACATGGAGCGAAGAGTGCCAAAAAGCTTTCGAACACTTACAAATGGCTCTGATCAGCGCACCGATTTTAAGCTACCCTAGACAGGCAGGGAAATTTGTGTTGGACACCGATGCAAGCAACAATGCAATCGGAGCTGTTCTCTCCCAAATCCAAGATGGGCAGGAGAAAGTCATCGCTTACTTTAGCAAAGTCTTGTCGAAACCAGAAAGAAACTATTGCGTTACCAGGAGAGAATTGCTAGGCGTAGTAAAGGCTTGCGAGCATTTCCATAAATACTTATACGGCAGAAAGTTTCTTCTTCGCACGGATCACGCTGCTCTAAAATGGCTCCTACAATTCCGTAATCCAGAGGGCCAGATGGCAAGATGGTTAGAACGATTACAAGAATATGATTACGAGATCGAACACAGGGCTGGAAGAGTTCATTTAAATGCTGATGCGCTTTCGAGAAGGCCGTGCAGTGAACATTGTAATCACTGTCTTAAATTAGAAGAAAGACTTTGCCCCGTGAGACGAACCACCGTCATTAATGATCAATGGCAGCCTCAACAGCTACAAGACGCTCAAGCAGATGATCCATGTATAAAAAGAGTATTGGATTGGATGCGTCGAAGTGAAAGACCCTCTTGGCAAGACATTAGTGCATGTAGTCCTGAAGTCAAGTGTTACTGGAGCCAATGGAATTGCCTAGTGTTAAAAGATGATCTTCTTTATAGAACCTTTTAGAACGATGATGGTACAGAATCTAAGCTTCAGTTGATTGTACCTAAAAGTAAAGTGTCGGAAGTATTGCGTCAGTTACATGACGGTGCATCAGGTGGACACTTTGGTATTACGAAGACTCTGCAAAAGGTTCGAGAACGGTTCTATTGGGTGAACTGTAAAGATGATGTAAGAAGATGGTGCCGGAAATGTGAACTGTGTGCAACCAGTAATGGTCCAGTTGGTAAAAAGAGGGCACCCATGAAACAGTACAATGTTGGTAGTCCTATGGAAAGAGTAGCAATCGACATTGCAGGTCCACTTCCAGAGACAAACGATGGAAATAAATATATCCTGGTAGCCATGGATTATTTTACAAAATGGACTGAGGCCTATGCGATACCAAATCAGGAAGCTGCTACCGTTGCAGAGGTACTTGTTAAAGAATTCTTTAGCCGATTTGGTGTTCCCTTGGAGATCCACTCCGACCAAGGGCGAAACTTCGAGTCGACCCTTTTCCAAAACGTTTGTAAATTGATTGGTGTCAATAAGACCAGAACGACACCCCTGCATCCTCAATCAGATGGAATGGTCGAGAGAATGAACCGAACGATGGGTAAACACCTGTCCAAAGTTGTATCAGAACATCAAAGAGATTGGGACCAGCACATTCATTTATTCCTAATGGCCTACCGCTCGGCCGTGAATGAAACTACCGGCCAGACTCCAACCTGCCTGATGTTAGGTCGTGAAGTTCGTTTGCCCTGCGACCTAGAGTTTGGCTCCAGACCTTCCGAAGAACATGTTGCAAGCGAAGATTATGTCGACCGCCTGAAGTTAAGAATGAACAACATTCATGAACTTGCCCGACAACACATCCAGTTAGCCAGTGACAGAATGAAAGATCAATATGATTCTCGATGCCAAAATGAAAGCTATAAAGTAGGTGATCTTGTTTGGCTGTATAATCCACAACGTCGTCGTGGCTTGTCTCCTAAACTGCAAAGACAATGGGAGGGCCCGTATGAAATTAAAAAGAGAATAAATGACGTAATATACCGAATTAAAAAGTTACCGAAAGGTAAACCAAAAGTAGTTCACATAAATCGGTTTGCACCTTATGCTGGCTCAAATGAAACAGAAGAAGCACGAATCCTTCAACATGAGATCAAAGATAAACGGCGACCAAGCTTTAAGGAGTTTATGTCAAATTACGCAGAGAGAAAGAATGCTAGATTCGGCGTGACGACAGAAGTTCAGCAGGATCTTTTTAGTGTTCCGCATAACGTCTCTCTAGCCCACTGTGTTGCCCAAGATCTTGAGATGACTAAAGGAATCTCATCTGTATTTTATAAGAAGTTCGGTCGTTTGGACGAGTTAAAAAACCAGCAGCCTAAAGTTGGAAGAGTACTGAGATTAGAAGATGGTTCTCGATCTTTGCTGTATATGGTGACCAGGAAGTCGTATACAGACAGGGCAACCTACGAGGATATATGGTGTGCTCTAACTAATTTGAAGAAAATCGTCTGCAATTACGACATTAAGAATTTGGCCTTACCCAAGATAGGCCATGCACTAGATAATCTGGATTGGAAGATTGTCAGAAGCATGCTAGAAGTGATCTTCCGAGAAACCGGTGTAAGAATTACCGTGTGTTGCACTAATCCAAAGAGATTGTGTCCTTCAAAGACAGTAGACTGTTATTTCTTTCTGAGGGGTTCATGCAGAGCTGGAGAGTCCTGTAGATTCCGCCATCCTGGGCCTACATATAGAGTTGCTGATCGGGACGCTCAGATCTAAGAGGGGAGCAGTGTTACGAACGTGCATTTAACGAGGCACGTATAACGGTTGCATCTCGAAACAGCACCTCATGCTTCCATGCGGCGCGGCGGCATCTCGAAAGCGACTCGATCTTTCGAGAAAGATCTGTCGCGTTCGCCTAGAGGTGGGAACTTTCTAGAAAATAGTAACTTTAGTATATATATGTAACGATCTTAGGAATAAGTTTAGTTGATAAGAGAATACCGAACTGTAAAGTTATAAATAAATATATTTATATAAATTCGAACCGCTCGTTTTATTTAAAAACGGTACAATATATATATATATATATATATATATATATATATATATATATATATATATATATATACAAACAACACAGTTTATTAGGGCTGCAGTCAGAAGTTTGGCCGGGATGTTACAGAAACACTCTTTTGACTTTTGGTCTAGCTTTCGGAATGGTTTTATTCCTTTTTCAAGACACTGTAATTAGAAGAATGTGTAAATATTTACAATATATCACAAATTGTCAGTGCAGCTTTCTAAAAGCTGGTGTTATTCCTTTCTTTATTATGTGTTTGGCTATTTTTGTTGATATCTTGCCTGTATATGTAATCGAGCAGAAGATACTGGTTTTTTTCTCTGGTGGCGGAAATACTAATTTCAGGGCTTTCATATAGCTTATAAGCAAATAGAAGTGAACAATGTCTACAACGAATAAACAATAAATAAAATTTTAAATCAAAAACTACATCTGGGCTCACAAATCTCTCAAACCCAAGTTATACTAAAAAAACCACAAAACCGAAGTTACGCAAACTCAAATAATTCATCCAACCAGAAAAGTTACCTAACAACGTCTGGACAAAAAATAAATCATAAATTATATAATGCTGCAAATGACACCAAAAGTGATAAACAAAATAAAAGAAAGCAGTGGAAAATAGAAGTGGGGTAAGATACAGAACAGAAAACATCTGAAGGCCACAGAACTGAATCACGATAACCAAAAATAGGCATATAAAGTACTGAATATGAAATAAAACGAATTGTCAAAAAGACAAAAACGCCCACCTGAACCAATAACTATTTTGGTACAATTCACACCTCTCAGCGTTATCATAGGCGAGAGAAAGAATACCGTGCAAAATTAGTCATGGGGGACGATGTATCAAGGGGGATAGGGGACCTAACAAAACAAGGCTCTTGAAAGAGAATCTGACATACTCGAAATTGAATTTGACGCAGCAATCAACGGAAAAAGAAGTCATAAAAGCTGCTAAAATACCTATTGAAATTTGGATCCTGATGATATTGAAAGCGACCAATCAGTAATTAGACACGGTACAGGTGGCAGAATCGATCAATACGGTAAGGAACGGGAAGTGACCAATCGATATTTAATCACAGGTGGGACGCTTTGGCCTTCGGTCAGTACCCAAGGGCCAGGTGACATTCTTATCAGATCAATATTCTGGTAAAACTCTCAGGACGGTTTTTTCTTTGGTTGATATCCAGAGGCCCGATGGAGTTCCCACCAGATCAGTACTTTAACGGAACTCGATTCTCTCTTTCGGTGGACGTCGTTTTATACCGTTGCCGGTGATCCATCTCGGTGATGTCCCCATTGTCGGCCAATTTGTTTACGAAAGGTCCTTAGTGACTAATTTAGAATGGTGCACTGTAGACATAAAGCGGAGATCAGTAATTGTAAAAAACGCTAAATTAACAAAAATCTGGAGAAGCCCCAAATCATCGTTGACATCAAAATCGTATTTTTAGGAAGCTTGGTTTTCTCAGTTTTCCTGTTTGATACCGACTGCTGGACTCTTAATTACAAAGATAAAGGTTCACAGATTCGATCAAGATGTTCTGTTGGCAAAGAATACTCAAAAACACGGGTAGTCTGAAGAACAAATGAGTCAATACTAAGATAATATGGTCTCAAGAAGCTGACCATACAAGAAAAGGTCAAACATAAAAGAGGTAGAGACAGATTTCCACAAGATACACGGATCACGTTGTTGCAAAAATAATATTACAATGTCAGAATGTACAAGAATGACAAAATAGAGAGGAACGGAGGAACATCGGAAAGATGCAACAAATTAAGTCATATCACGATACCTGTAACAAGTTAACGACTAAAAGTAAGAAGAAGATATGGTATATGTGTCTTATTTATACTAATTTAGAAAGTGCTATGTATTTTTGTAAAATTTTTATTTGCTATATTCTTTTCTAAAAAGTAATACATAATTAATTTTTAGGTCATGTCTTGCAGAGTTGTTTTAGATAACCCAGGGATTTATAAACCAGGAGATGCGATTACAGGAAGGATAGTATTAGAGTTTTCATCAAGGACGAATTTTAGAGGTAAGAAAAAGTTTTTTAAATATATAATTTTTCTTCTTAGTAGACATTTCATTCGGATTAACCAAAAACATTGCGTGATTCAGTTCAATATCAAATAAACAATACGTGAGTTAACATTCGAAAGACCTCTACTCGACCCTGTAGAGTCAGCAGAGATAGTTTTTGTGAATGCAGGACAATTTGACATTCTGACAATTAAAACAAGGAAAAAATTGTGGTCACTTATGGTGCACACTGTCTGTGGATAAAATTTTTTGTTCTTGGTTTTAGTCCAGACTATGTGCAGCAGGTTGTCCTGCACAGTTTGTAATGCATCAACAAAATATATTGCAACAAATATACAAATTATGATATTCTATTACATTAACTTCTACTTCTTAACAGTACTAGCATGGGTATCGAAAAAATACTTAATGCACATAAAAGTAGTTGAGGGGTAGCCTGGACAACATGTATGTACTTTTTTAGCATTTTTCAGCGTTCCATCGCGTTTTGAAAAGATTTATAAAAATGTGTGCATATTCCTCTATTCTCTTTTTCTATAATGCAGTGGTAGACGGATTGTTCTTGTTGTAGTTCGGGAGCACCATTAGTGTGTCATAAAACTATTTTTTCTCGGAAAGAAGTAATAGGTATTGTATTACCCGTAACATATTTGTAAAGCACATGCGCATTGACAACTGTCGTATTAGTCCAAAGTTCGATAGCGACTTTCCGGTAAAACTGGATACTTCGAATTAGAGAACTGTATACCGCTTTTTGGTGAGAAACATCAATAAATACTTTTCCTGCATTGCATTAGACAACAGTCGATGGCTTAGTACCAGGTCCACGTTTAGTCTCTGCTTCAGTCATTGAAGGAGAATCCTTAGTGGTTAAAAAGAGAACGTCTCTCTTATCTTTCCACTTGCTGACAATAACTTTTGTGCTGCTCTGTAAAGATTTAATTTCTCCTCGTTTGAGCTTGACATTTACGACAGGTTTTGGATTGCGTTTTTTGTTGGCGTGTAATGTACCAACTAAGTGTGTACTTTGTCTGTCTAACATTTAAAATATGTTGCATGAGTTCCATAGCTACCCTGGAAGCTAAGGATTTCTCTGATGGTGTTTCTTTTCCCCCGTAAAGTTTCACCGCATATGTATAACTTTCAGATACCCAAATTTTAAATAGCTTGATCCCATATATATGCCTTTTTCCAGGAATATATGGAAGAAAATTTAACCTAACGAAAAGGCACTATTGCCTCATCAATACACAGAGAATTGTTAGGCGAACAAATTTTATGAAATTTACTATTCAAGATTGTTATAAGAGGTGAGAGTTTGTATAGTCTGCTATTTAGTGGAATATTTTCATTATCGAAAATGTGAATACAATGTAAAAGGACCGCAACTTTGAAAACTCGCATTTTTACGAAGTGGATTGTTGCTCCAATTGTCTCTCAACTGTGGTTTCTTGTCTAATCCCATCCACATTATAACTGCTAAAAAACGAAGTAATTCCTCTATCTGTGTTTTGCCATTTGCACAAAAGCGAATCATTTTTGATGGTTTCATTTACAATCCCCTCAACTACTTTCTATTGAGCATATCTATATATTTCTGTTATTAACAAATCTTGAATTTCATTATCAACAAATACTAAGTAAAAATGAATCGGTTCATGACCACGAAGTTGCTCTTCGTCAATGTTGGATCCTGGTCTATCAGTAAATTCAAATTTATGTAGTTCTTCCGGGCCATCTATTTTTTTCCGCGTTATTTTATCTGCTCTTAACTTAACATCATCTATGTTGACGATTTCTTCAGTTTCTCTGGCTTTTAAATAATCAACAAATCAATACAAACGTTATACAACTTTTGTTTCCTTCTTGGTCTACTAACATCGTCACCCATTTCTATAAAGTAAGAAAACAATTAAGACACCAATCTGTACTTTGAGCGAAATCAGTTACCTATTACCACTTTATCAATAGAATTACTGGGTCCAGTTTCTTCATCACCACTCGAATAAAGTTGATCACTGTCATTCTCTCGATAAGCAGGATCAGCACCAGATTCATAATCTGATATATTATAATCAGTGAAATCAGATTGTGCTAGTATTTGACGAAGTTCATCCTCTGATAATCATTTTTTGTTCATTATATGAAGATATGAATATTTTTCTACTGCAGGAAATGAGTATAATTATTGTCGCACACGATAGTACCACAGTGAAATACAAATGTAAACAAAAATCCTAACCTACAAAAACTGGAGGCAGGTTTAACCGGACCAAGACAGATTTCCGTTTTCTATAGACCAGACCTTTCTAATTTATCATATAACAAAGCAGAAACTACGACCTTCACGTGGTCATAGTTTCTTAAACACGATAACATACTGAGGCCAAATTGGTACACACGGTCTTTAGTAAAAACCAGTGTGGTGCATGTGGGGCTTAACGTGTTAAAAGCAACTTTTGGTGTTACGATATCATTACTATTTATTGTTGTTAGTAGTAGAGTTTAGACATCGTCTTTTGTTTACGCTGTTGAACTATCCTGGCTTATGATATAATTGTTGAGTTATCAATAAAAAATGCAAAAGTAAAATCTTTATCTTTCAAAGTGCAACATAAAAAATCAATTGAGTTAGCCGGACGAGGGCTCGACGCTACATAATTATGTACCAAAATGTTTGTACGGTACCGATTAAATTGTTTATTTTGTTCTCCCGGATATTTCTCTTCCGTCTATTGAGTGCGCTTCAAAAAGACTATAAAAACTTTTACGCATATGATAGTGTTGTCATCGTATGTTTGAAACTTTCTTCGGAAAATTTTTGTCGATTGAGGCAAGCATATTATGTACATATATATTAAGTTAGATGTAAATTAGAGATGCCACGAATAGTGATTTGGCTGAATACCGAATATTCGGCTACGCTCTTGGCTGAAGCGCAGAATATTCGGCAAAATATGAGTAGATTCCGCTGGTGACAGGTTATAACTTGTCTCAATGTGGTGAGTGCGGAGAGGACGGAGCAAGCGTATTTGTTTCATTTGCATGTAGATCGTATCACAACACGCATTATTTGTTCAATGTTACATATGTTTGTAATTGTTTTTATAGTTCTTACTTACTCCTTATTACTAAAAATATGTTTCGTAAAAATTACGAAAAAAAGTGTTTCTTTTCCAGTTTTACAAAATCACCTATTTGGTAATATGAGATTTGTAGTGGTGATAATACACTGGCTGTGTGTTTGTTACTATCGAACAACAAGATCTCGTGGTGTGGAGATGAAAAGAATGCAAGTAAATAAAATTTTCATATTTTGAAGCAAATGAATACTTAATTTTAGTCATAATTTATCATATTTAGTCAAATGTATCTTGTTTTTTTATTTGAAAACATTTCGCCTTAATCGGAAGGCAGACTCTTACAAGTGGTGTTCACCAAACGCAAAAGCGTATCCAATCCTGACAAAATTCGCAAAGGCTTATATATTATCTTCAGGTGTAACGAATATTTTGCCTACCACATAGGGTATTATTATAAAAGGTTTGAATAGAAGTTACTGGGGTGCAGATATAGCAATCAAAATAAACGAAACTCTCGGTTTGCGAACGGCTCTCAGGGTTTATTTGGAGTAGCAAGTGAAAGACAAGAGTGTTGTATTTAGACAACTACAAAAAAATGAAACAAAAAGTACTTACATGAATCTCCTGGACAAATGGGCAACACAAAACAACAAGAAGGACCTCTAGCTATTTAAAATGGGACACCGCTTCGAGGGAACGTCCTGCTGGATGAAAGAAAAAGGTTCTTCTTTACTAAAAACACAAATGATTTATTATTGTCTCATCACAAACAGTTACAAAATATAAATGGCACAAAAATACTATATTAATAGTTACAAATATTTATACCAAAATAACAAAGAAGAAAAACTACATGTCCTATTCTTTTACAAGCTCTGTTTACAAGTGGGAGATGCTACAAAACTTACAAAACATTGTTACTGGACTATAAACTATGGCAGAAATAAATTATTACAAATAAAGAAATATCTTTTGATAAAACTATTTATAAAAGTTAACCTTTTTCTAAAAACAAAACAAACTAGTGTCAAAAAATAAAACTAAGCTAGCTGCCATATGTCAATATTGAATTTTAAAACTGAACAAATAAAATGACAGCTAAGACCACGCCCTAAGATTTACAATTTTAATTATTAAAATTTAAATTGTTATGAACACAATTATTATTTTAAGCTGTTTATTTTTACTTTAAAAGTTTAAACAAAAAAAAGTTACCTGGATTTCACTATAATGCACTTTAACTTTAAATTTCTGAGGTTGGGAACTGAACTCACATTACCACTCGAAACAAATCATCTCCATACTACGAAAGGTATTTTGAAACGGCTTCTTACTAGGACAACAATTTGAGGTTGGAATTAGCGGCACTAGACACAGACTTCGCTTCGGCTTCTTAATTAAACTGGAACCATCGTGGTTACTTTTCAAAATTGTTGTATTCGACACAAATCTCTTAGAAACATAGAAGTAGTGATTACTCTTACAAAACTGGCACGTTAAATAGAGTATAATTCCTCTATTTTCAACAAATTTTGCAAGCTCTCCAATTTACATACCGACGTCTCACTAAATACGTCTGCTCATTATCGCCTACATTTCAAACCTAAAAACTGAATTCATCCGACTACCTAAGACCGGCCGGGGCTACCAGTTTTGCGTCTCATCTCTCCACCGTTTCTTGCCATCAAACAACCCAAAATTCTTGTTAAACATATCGCAAAACGACCTTGAATCAAACAACTTTTTAAAATTGTAGGACTAACGCATACAAATAAATAAAACCATATTTTCGTCGTAGTTAATAACAGGAATTTGTAATTCTTTTCTTTACCTCACATATCACTAATAAACAGAGAATCTGGGAAACATTTATACTTGGGCCAGGGGCGTCTTAGAAAATTTTATACTAAGAAATTTATTATGCTACACAGGTAGTATTGTATATAATGAGAGGCTGTTTTCAGAAGCGGGTATTATTGATGAAGATAAGTGCAACCGTTTGCTATCAACAAATGCTGAAAAAATTGATTTTATTTATCAAAACTTACCATTGATAGATTTAGAGTATTAAAGTAAACATTTGTGATTAAAATTACATAATATTATTGAATATTAAGTGTTTTTTATGATTTGGTATTCGGTTTAAAAAAGTAACCGAATAGGCCTAATACGGAATATTCGCAGAATCACAATATAAATATTTGTTTTTTTTAGGTATAACTTGTAAATTAAGAGGTAGGGAACACACTTCCTGGACTGAATCTGAAAGTTACTATGATAGTTCGTCTAAAAGCACAAAATACAGGACTGTCCATTACTCTGGAGACAACAAGTTTATCTACCTCAATCATGCTCTCATGCATGAGAGTAAGTACGAAACATTTAATGTGTGATCATATCATATTATTGAATTTTTATATTTTAAGACGCGTTAGCGGCTGGCCGTTATGAATATTCTTTTTCATTTCAACTTCCAAGAGGAATTCCTAATCCATATGAAGGCAGTTATGGATATATTCGGTATTATATTAAGGCAACCGTTGACAGAGCTTTTACTTTTGATTATGAAGATGAAATATCACTACACGTAATTTCGCCTATAGATTTTAATGAAATTATACATGAGCTTCAATTGGTAAGAAATTTATATAAATAGAGTAAATACTGAAAACAACTATTTTATAAAATTTATTTCATAATAACATCACCAAAACTGTTTAGATATTAACGGTGTGCTTTACTAATACTCACGGGTGGATTGTAGCCTTTAGGGGTTGAATATTATTTGTCTTAAGTTGGTCCTTATAGTTACGAGATCCCACTGCAAAATCACTACGTTTATATCGTAGATACTTATATTATTGTTATTAATACTATATATCAACGCATGCGCAATGGCTGTAAAAACTCCCACAACTAGCACTCGCCATGTCAAACCAGTAGCGTTGCCCGCTAGCTCTCGTTTACTTTATCTTTGAAACCTCGTGTTTTTAACAGTGTAATTTTGTTTGCTAACTATCATATATTAAGATTTCTTAACGCTGAGTCTTAATCCATACTGGTCACAGGTCTGGGCTTATTTTGTTTAATAAATTTTGAAGGTTCTCACTGCCAGTACTAATGTATCATCGGCGTATCTAATATAGTCCACGGTTACGCCATTCATTACATTGCCTTCTGTTGTCTTCATTAACACGGTGCATGCTAATCACGTTTGTTTGGAAATTGGAAAATGTATTGTTTAGAAAATTTCGTTAAATCTACTTGTTAATAAGTGACCTTTCTAATTTATTAATATATAATTCATTTTAGAATCCTGTATCATATCAAGATGAAAAAACAATATGTTGCTGTTGTTGTGCAAGCGGTCCAATTACTATGGATGTAATTTTAGAAAAAGAAGCATTTGTTGTTGGAGAGGTTGCTAAAATTAAAGTAGATATTACAAACATGTCAAATGAGAGTACCGTAGAATTAACGTTATCCTTAAAAATGGTAGATATGGTTAAATTTTCGCAAGTATTTGAGAAATTATTGTCAGTATTTTTAGACCATCGAATCTAAAACAACATCACCAAATCATCATTATAAGTATGATAAAGAATATATACAACACGTGTCAGATTCAGGTGTTGGAGCCCACGGACAACGAATATATAAAATTAATTTTCCAATACCTACATCAGCAGTGATACCCAATTTTATTAATTGTACTTTATTTAAGCAGTGGAGTGTTCTTAAGGTAAGATTATGGACATAAATATATCACTTTGAATTCAAGTTTATTATTACTAATAAGTGCTTGTAGTATTTAGTATTGCACTTCATTGTAAATCGGTGTAGCGATACTTTTAATAAAAAATTAAAATCCAAATGTCGATATAACAAATCCAAATCGAGGTCTGTGATGGACGCACAATGTGAAGAGATATATGTTCTCATCTCATGGCTCAGTGTACCCTAGAAGTGAAGGACCTTTATGGTCTGTAGCGCTGCTAGCTTATTATTATCAACTAGTTGTCTTCCTGCATTTGGACCGTGTTTTGTGTGGAGGACGTGTGTATGCCCATCTCAAAGATTTACTACAGTTGTATGTATCTACTCAAAGGGGAAACATATTCCGCTGAAATGGATCGTTTGGATCGTCTATTGTGTTAAAAGATTATAGAATTGGTGATGGATATTTGAAACCATCCACACACACACATATACATATATATATATATATATATATATATATATATATATATATATATATATATATATATATATATAATTTTATATCACGAAACACTTTTTGGACTTTTTCTTTTATTTCGAAAATACAATAATAAACAAAATAACGTGCTACAATTTTAATTATATGTCTTGGAATGGTCTTCTTCCAATTTCTAGCGAAGGCTATCTCTGGGTGTCTTGGTGGAGAGGGCGGATGGTCATTCCCATTGGTATTGCCAATTCCTATCTTGTATCTTCTCTTGGATCTGCATTTGCATATGACGTAAAGAACAACAAGAGTCACAAATACGACTATGGTTAAGATCGTGAATCAGTTCAGATGTTTGTTGACGAATGGTTCATTGATTAGATTGTTTAGTTCTTCAGAATACTGATTGAGTTTGTGATGGGCTCGAGGTCTTCAGTATTGATCTTGCTAACCTTCAATGGTTTTTAAGTCGGGAAGGTGGATCTTATGTGGGAAGTTTTTGTAACAGTTGAGTAAGGAAGATTGTCATGGACGTCTATCAATTGCTGAGAGTGTACTCTTGTACTACCAATAAAGGCATCGCATTTGGGTTGTAATTTAAGTACATGGTTGGTGTGGATGATCTCCGATTTGGCATATCTGGACTCGCGTTTGATGATAATTTTGATCTTCTGGACGTTGTAATCTTTAAGTCTGGCATGTTCTGGGAAGGCGTTCTTGTCGCTTCAGAAGTTGAACTTCGTATATGGCATCGCTGTCGATCGGGTATGGAAGTCTGTTGTGACAGACCTTGGTTCGAGCTCGCAAGGTTTTGAATGACTCAAGACTATTTATTGTAAGGTATAACAAGAAATTCGTTTCGCGCAATGTATTTATGTGTTGTTGTTAATATTGAATGAAGACCTGTTTGATTATCCAGTATTGGTATTGGATAGAGACGATATAAAGTATATGGTTCTGCATCAGTTTAGTGATCAGTGAAGATTATTTTTTTGTAATGATTGTGATATATGCCTAAGCGGTTCAATTAAATCGAACGGCGTGATGAATGAGCTATGTAATATTTTTAATCGAACAAAGGGTATGGCATTTACTAATCATTTAACGAGTCTTCAATAAATGAATAGCTTTTCATTAGTAATTCACAGAAGTTTAGCATATCAATTTGAGATTGATAGAATTTGAATTGGTCAGAGATATTCATTATTGACTCGAATTTCTCGAAATTCATTGTTGAATGATTCCTCATCTATTTGTAATTTCCGCATTGTGGCGTTAAAGTTCTTCATCAATAGGTTTTCGATTTGGTAATCATCGCGTGTTATTTTATTTATACATTCATTGAAATATTCGCCATCTGACGAGTCTAAGTTTTCGGTAATTGATTTCCATATCGAACCTTTATATATATATATATATATATATATATATATATATATATATATATATATATATATATATATATATATATATATATATATTATCATGCAACCTATTCTTTCCACTGCTGGACAGGTGCGTCTTGTTGCTATTTCTTGGATATTCATTTAATGTCGTCCATCCAGCGTGTTGGTGGTCGTCCTCTGCTGCGTTTGTCTTCTCTTGGTCAATTACTTTTCTGGTCCATCCTGAGTCTTTTAGTCTCGCTATGTGACCTGCCCAATTATATTTCAGCTTGGCTATATGTGAGACGACATCAGTGATACACCTGTTTGTTTTACTTAGGTCTTGGTTCCTTATTTTGTCTATTTTTGTCACGCCGACAAAGAATCCATCTTTCCATGCGCCTTTTTGCCACTCGCAGTTTTAGTGCTGTTGTTTTTGTGAGAGTGGGAGTTTCTGCTCCGTATGTATAGGAAGAATGCATTGATCAAATGTCTTCCGTTTCATAGCTATAGTGAACCATATGCCGCCAAAGCAAATGTTATTCCTTGTTGAAATTCACAGGTCTGATTATCCTTGCTTATTCTGATTTTATGACCGAGATATATGTACTTTTTTGTCAATTCTACTACTTCATTTTGGATGGTTAGGTGTTCGCTGGGAACTAAATTTGTCATAAATTTGGTCTTACTGATGTTCAGTTTTAGACCTATTGTTGAAGATACATTTTCTAATTCTTGTAGCATTTGTTGTGCTTTAGAGCTTTAGTAATCAATACTATATCGTCGGCAAAACGCAGATGATTCGAGGCGTATTCGAGGACCGTTATAAATAATTTAGGTGAGAGAGTCTCGTCCTGTTTCACACCTAGCTTTATATGAATTGCTCTGATGGTATACTGTAGTTTTACCAAAACGCATTGAGGCGTTTTGGTACAATGTTTGTGTTAACTTTATAAGCCGGTAGTCTATTCTACTATTGTTCAGAGCAGTTATAATGCTGTATAATTCCACGGTATCGAAGGCTTTGTGAAAGTCCTCGAAGATAAGTACCAGTGATCTGTTATATTCCGTCGATTTTTCTGGTAAGGTTTTTACTGTTTGTATGTGATCGTTTGTTACGAATTTTGAGCGGAAGCCAGCTTGTTCTCGGGGCTCTTAGAAATCGGGTAAACATTTTATGTTCAATAAGCTGATTGGTCTATAGTGTTTTAGGTGCGCCTTGTCTCCTTTCTTGTGTGGTAAAATTGTTACTGCATTGTTCCATGTTTCCGGTATGCAACAATCTGTTAGACAAAGGTTAAACAAAATTTAACAAAATTTTTATTTGGTTGAGAAGGGCACGTCTGCCAATCTTTATAGCTTCTATTACGACTCCATCTTCTCCTGGTGCTTTGTTGTTTTTCATCTTTTTCATTGCGTCTTCGCTTATCGAACCCTGGTTGATGATTTTGCGTGATGCGGCGGCTTCCAAGTTCGTTTGGTCTTCTCTTTAACTTGTGTATCTGGATAGAAGTCATCAACTATGTGTAGTAGTTCTTCTCTATTTGATATGGGGACTCTTTTGTTCTTTAGTTTGTGTATTTCACATTTTCCATTGTTTAGCCGTCTTCTCAGGACTTTCAGACTTTTATTCTCTTCTATAGTTCGGTGGACCTTTTCATTCTTAAATTTTCTTAAATCTTTCCTTATAGCTTTTGATACTTCTTTATTTATTTTTCGTAGTTTTTCTTCGTCAATGCTTTCTTTTCCTTTGATTTCTCTTCTAGTTTCCATTAGTTGCTTTGTTTAAATGATTATTTTTTCATCTTGGCGTCTTTTAGGGCAGCATTTTACTTGAGCCTCTCGAATAGCTTCTACGATATTTTCGTTTAGGGTATTTACATTATTTATGCATTCATTTTGTTGTAGGATTTTATTGATATTGTCTTGGTATTCATTTAAATTCGTTGGGTCGTTCCATATCGGGTTGGGCTTTCTTCGTAATAATTTTGGATCTTCTTGTTATTAAGTCTAATTGTAATTTGGCTGTTACCATTCTATGATCGCTGCCTGTGGTAAAGCTATTAAGGACTGTGACATCGTTGAATATATGTTTTTTGTCACTGATTGTGTAGTCTATCTCGTTTCTGATCTTGCCATCTGGGCTTTTCCACGTCCATCTTCTGTGGTCTTTTTTAGAGAAGAAACTATTCATCTGGTATAGAATTTGTTGTAATAGAAATTCTAGTAGTGTTTGTCCACGTTCGTTTCTGCCTTTGAATCCAAATTTATCTAGTGTTGTTTCCTGTTCATCCTGCTTTAGACCAACTTTGCGTTAACCCTTTCGATGCGGCAGAAATTACTAGTAGGTACCGTGTGTGCGGCTCACTTTTTTCGTTTAAAAATGAAATATATACAAGTTTAATTTTATGTTATTAAGACTATAAATTCATATTTGTAGGGTTGCAAACAATTTTCATCTGAATGATTTCATTGAAATATGCGGAAGCCGCACATATTGGCCTTTACGAAATTATTGAAAACCTTTTTTTAGGGAAAGTTTAATGTTTATTTGCAACAAATAAAAATAACAAACAGATTTCACAAAATATGGACTCTATTTCTGGTTTTCCTTCACATTCTAAACAATGGTAAATACTATATTTTCGTATCTTATTGGTAGAATACATTCAGCATCTTTTTCTTTCAAAGTTTTACCGCATTCATTGGTGACATCAATTTTTTAGGGTGTGTGTTCAACATTTTGTATCCTGCCTTTTCCTGGAGATGGAACTTCTGATAACAAATTTTCTAAGATCTCGTGTCTAAATTTGCTCAGTGTTTTCTTTTCGCCATAAAATTTATTATATAGGAGATGAGAATTAATAAGTAATAACTGAATGATATGCAAACTTATTTTTTTATACTAACGTAATGTTTTCCACTGTTAACTTATTAGGATTTTTCATTTGTATAATCTTACGTCTTTTTGTACTAGAAGGTCCAAGTTTACTTAAATCCACCATATAATGTTTACACACCAGAGTATTTAAAACGTTTTTCTATCGACAAAAATAAGGTTATAATGGAAAAAAAAACATTAAATACTTAATTCTTACATTTCTAAAACGGGACGCCATCTAGAGTGTAAAATAAAACTCAAAACTAGAAACGAAAGTTGCCCAATAATAGGCTGAATATCTAGCAATATGCTGATAAAATTCTATAAAGTTATACGCTATGCTACTTTCAGAAAATATATAATTACAATTTAAGTGTACCGACGCCGCACATGTGCGTCGTCCGCATATGGCTCAACTTCGCAGGGCGTCGTCCGCAGCGAAAGGGTTAAAATCGCCGCATATAATCGTGTAGTGTGTTGGTGTTTCTTTCAGTGCCGTTGAGATATCATCGTAGAATTCTTCAATCTGCTCATCGGATGGTCCGTTGCTGGAACATATACTTGAATAATCTTTATTTTATACCTTTGATTTAGCTTTACGATTAAATAGGCTACTCTTGTGGATATTCTTCTTGTAATTATATATATATATATATATATATATATATATATATATATATATATTACTACATAATACTAATTAACTTATCGATTAGTTAATTTATAACGATTATAAAAGATATTATATCGTAAATTAAGCTGTGTTTACATTGCAAAAAAATGTACAAACACCAATTTGGAAAAGTTAATGATTCCATTATCTGAGTGACTTAGTTTTCCTCATAGGTTTTTGTTTCTGCATTTGATTCAACAGTATCTACTTATATTCCATGTTGTCTCAATTTCTTAAGATGAAAGGCTTTTTTACTTTCTCCTGAAACTTTTATATACTGAAATTTACTAGCTTTTGTTAAAGTTTTAGCGAATAGATGGCTTAGGATCCGTTTCGACAGATACCCACCGAAGAATTCGACAAAGATTATAATTCGACTTGTGTTTTAGGTTGCAGCAGTTGTTCCAGGTTGCCACACCAATCTAGAAATTGAAACTGGAATTAAACTGGGCCATATTCCTCTGCCAGAACGTCCTAGACCACCACCTGTTGCCCCTGTTATTACATCTCCAATAGGTAATTTAGTATATACTACAGTAAACCCGCAAGATTTTACCTCAAAAATATTGTATTTATTAATTTCAGTATACAGTATATAGATAATTATATTTTAATATAGAATATAAAAATCTATGATGAAATGTAAAAAAAAATGAATAGGTTAGACAAAAATTGATTTTGTGTGAGTTCTGCAGAGACAGAGAAAGCGTCACTCAATAAAAACTATTTTGGATAGGTTACTTCAATCGTGAGGCTCTACACGGTACAAAAGGTACCACTTTCAAAAGGGTAGAACTTTTAGTTCTACGTTCTCTTACTTGTATATCCTGTATTTTATATGTATGTATACTTAATGTATACATTCTTCTTCTTCGCGTGCCATATCAGATTTATCCGACGTTGGCGATCACCATTGCGAAGGCTTCTCGATCTTCTGCAATATGGAATAATTGTCCTGCATTTGGTATCTGAGTCCATTCACGAATGTTTTTTAACCAAGAAACTTGTTTTCTTCCTACACCTCTACGGCCCTCTATTTTGCCTTTAAGGATCAGTTGTAAAATTTTATATCGACTTCGCCCATATATGTCCCAGATAAGACATTTTTCGATGTTTAACAGTCTTTAGCAGTTCTCTGTCTTTGTTGACGCTCCTTATTAATTCTTCATTAGTTTTTCTTGCTGTCCAAGGTATTTTCAGCATTCGTCTATGAACCCACATTTCCAATGCTTCAATTTTGTTCATGATCGATACTTTTAGCGTCCACACTTCTGCACTATACAAAAGTACGGACCAAACATAGCACTTAACCTATCTTTGACTTAGTTCTAAACTGAGATGGTTATTGCAAAGAAATGACTTCATTTTCATAAAAGTAGTTTTAGTCATTGCTATTCTACGTTTTATTTCTATGTCTGGATCTAGTTGGTCCGTTATCACAGTTCCCAAATATGTCATTTTGTGAACTTTCTCAACTTGGACTCAATTTAATTGAAGCTTTGCATCGGGATGTGGGTCACGACTAAACACTAAACATTTGGTTTTGTTTGAGTTTATTTTAATGCCCATTTCCTTTCCTACCTCGTGAATACGATCAAGCAGAATTGGAAGACCTTTAATATTATTTGATAGAATTACTCATGGACGTATAAACATAGATGGACACAGCAATAAGATACCTTTAACACACAATGTTTTGAAGCTTCCATAGAATGTGATGCTTCCGCAATGAGCATAAGCGTGCTTGAATTTTTACTCGCGGGTAATTATTCAGATTTTAAAAATTGGAAGTAGTAATAATGTATAAAAACACGTTTTAAAAAGGTACTAAACAGATCTTTTTTAATCAGATGATGTCTACTTACAATTTAAAAATGTCTACTAATTTCATGAACTTATATCTTTTCAATACATTAATGAACATGAATAAACCCAATGGTACGCCTATTAAAATGTAAACAAACACGCTTCCTCATTTCCTGATCTTAAATAATGTAAATTGTATGTACTTACAAATGAAATGAGAGATCGGGATGAAAATATTTCGTTTATTTTATTTCACTTTTCACAAATATCACTCAAAATACAGCCAAAATATCGAAAAACAACTTTTACTAAAATTTTTGAAGTTTGACGTAGATCCATGAGACAAAGAAATGTAAACAACCGTTGCCATTTATAAATAGTTTTCCGTGCTTCTACATATAAAATAATTGATTGATATCTAATTATACGCTATTATTAAATGATAATGCACACATTATATTTTGATTACAATTTAATATATTAATCTAACCAATAAATTATTATTTTGGTTTGATAGCACCTGTAGAGTATAAAGTACGAAGTAATATTTTCAGCGACTCGCGAATAAGAAATTTTAAAACAAAACGTGACAACAGTTGAAGGTGCTGAGAATGTGACCTATTCAAATAATTTTTACTTCACAATTTTATGTAAATAACTGAGTCCATCTGTGTTTTTATGTCCATGGAATTACTATTTACTGTATCGTCTGCATATCTAATCACATGAAGTAGTTCCCCGTTGATTTTTATTCCATATGGTTGTCTCTCAAGTGCCTTTTTAAATAACTGGTCCGAGTAAACATTGAACGATGTTGGCGACAAAATGCAACCTTGTCTGAGTCCTCGTTGTATGGGGATTTCATCGGTGTAGTTATCTCAAATTTTTACGAAAACAGTTTGATTCCAGCACAAATTTTTAATGACACTAATATCCTTGTCATCTATTCCGATATTTTTCAGTATTTGCATTAATTTTACATGCTGTACTTTATCGAATGCCTTTTCGAAGTCCACGAAACATGCAAATACATATTTTCTTTGGTCACGGCATTTTTGTAATAGGATGTTAAGCGCAAAAAGTGCCTTCCTAGTTCCCATAACATTTCTAAAACCAAATTGGGTATCTTCAAGATCTTCGCATTTGCGTCTAATTTTGTTGTGAAGTATTCTGAAGAAAATTTTAAGAGTGTGGCTCATTAGGCTAATTAATCGATATTCTGAGCATTTTCTCGCATTGTGTTTTTTAGGTATTGCGATAAAGATGGATTTGAGCCAATCTGCGGGAATCACTCCGGTGTTATATATTGAATTAAAAAGTCTTACTACTACTTTTATGTTATCATTCTCTATTAGTTTCAGCAACTCAGTTGGTGTATCATCTGGACCACAAGCTTTTCTAATTTTAGCATTATTTATAACATGTTCTACTTCGCATTTCATAATTTCTGGGCCGTCAGTACAGTTTTGGTAGAATTCGGCAATATTATTCCTGTCATCTTCAAACAACTCTGATATATACAGCTGCCATTCTTTTCTTATTTCTTGCTCATTTACAATAATTTTATTAGTGTCAACAAGTACAGAGGGAACTCGTTTTTAAATATATTACACATTTCTTTCAGTTTTTTGTGCTCATTAAATAAGTCGTGTTTAGATATTACATCCTCCATTTCGTCGCACCTTTCTCTCGTCCATTTTTCTTTGGCTAATTTGATCTCCTTCTTTATTCTTCTCTGCAGGTGCCTATATTCTGTTACATTAGATTTTATCAGTCGGCGTTGATTCATTAATTTCAAGATGTCGTCTGTCATCCAGTTATTTTTCTTGATTAAGTTTTTTCCATAATCATTGTTTGTGGAGGTTTCGTTAACTTGGTTTTTAAATTCACTCCATAGTTCTTCTGGATCTTCTAGTTGTTCTCCAATGTTTTTTATTCTATTGTTAAATTCTTTTTTAATGTTATGTTTTATGTTTATATCGTCAAAGTTAAGTACATTGGTTTTTGGTTTTTGACTCTGAATTCGTTTTAACCTTAGTTTAATATCTGCTACGAGTGGTTGATGATTAGATCCAATATCTGCACCAGAATATGTAGTGACTTTTTTGACGGCATTTTGGAAACGCTCATTTACAAGTATATAGTCTTATTTGATTTCTTGAAGACTCAGGATTATTGCCATCATCAAATGGGGCTTTCCAAGTGTATAGTCGTCGCTTGGGTAGTTTATACTAGGTGCTTGCAATGATCATATCGTTTTCTTGACAGAATTCATACAATCTCTGTCCTCGATCGTTAGGTTGTCCTAAACCATAAGGACCCTACAGTCTGACCTCGTCAACCTTCCCCAATTTTTGCATTGAAGTCGCCTATAATATATAAAATTTCGTGTTTATTAAGTTTCTGTAAGATGTCTTGGATCTGATCATACAACTTCTCGACTTCATCGTCATATTTTCTATCTGCAGTCGGGTCATAGATTTGTATGTTAGTTTTAAATGGTTGAGTATTTATTTGGAGTAATATTATTCTATCCGACACTGATACGAAATTGGTCACATATTTACTCAGTTCTGATGTTACTAAAATACCTACACCATTTTTGTGATGCGGGTCTTCTGTGCTGTTACCGGAATAATATAATACACTTCCGTCCTTTTTACATGATCCTGACTCTGGCCATCTCATTTCGCTGATTCCCAGTAGGTCTATTTTCATTCTTTTCATTTCTTGAATTGCGTTGTCAAGTTTCTCAGCCGCAAATAGACTTCTAACATTCCATGTGCACATTCTAAAATTATATTTCTTTATTTTTGGGATTTCTTAACGCGGTTTTCGCATGTTTACGACCCGAGAAGCCTCGTGGTATAAATATGTTTCTCCTCTCCTGCTGAATCTTGGCCTCTGCTTTCCATGATTAGTAACGGTTTGAAATTGCAGTGTCAATTATATGGTGATTTTCCTGGGGGTGCTCTATGAGCTGTTAATGCAGTGGTTCCCCTTTGCCTTCTGCATTCTTACGCCGTTGACCATTATTTGTTGATTCATGCCCTACCACTCACCAACTCATCCGCCCTAAGCCGTTCACTTCTAAAAGACCTTAGACTCTCCAAATAATCGAACCTCTACTTTATTAACTGGCTGGATTCCATAATTGCCTGCCGTTTATTCACTGTTTTAAACATAAAACCATTAGATTTTAAAAAACCCCAAAAAGTAATTTTAAGACACTCGGGGATTATTTCTTTGTTTCTTAATTCACTCAAAAGTTTATTTAAAGTCGGTAAGTTATTCGGTAATACTCGATGGGCACCAGAATCCTTTCTTTTTTTTTCGTAATACTGGACCGTTTTTTACAAGTTTGTACACAGTATATCCTGACACTTGTGTCAAAAAACCCGTCTTTTTGATCGCTTCTGATTTAACCATCGTCGAAGGAGAACCTAAGAACAAATGTACAATTTTACTTTTTAAGGAATTCTGTGTTTTTATGAATGAATTAATCGGTACATATGATTAACCTTCCTAATACCGGATGGGGCGAATTCTCACCCCAGCTTTATTTTTTTTTATTCATATCTGTAATTAAGTTTAATCAATCGCTTTGACGGTTTAGGACAAAGTAATTTTAAGACACTCGGGGATTATTTCTTTGTTTCTTAATTCACTCAAAAGTTTATTTAAAGTCGGTAAGTTATTCGGTAATACTC